CGCAATGACTTGGCCGCGCGTTCGTTCGCATATCGTTTTGTGATCTCATTTGTTGGTAATGCAATCTTGGAGACATAGCGGTCAGACGATCGCGTTTCGACCGTTGCGATTGCACGTCCGCTATTGCGAATCGACGTACAACACTGTCGGCTCTGTATGGCCATTAGTCCCTTGTACCACGACGTAGGCGTAATTAGGAAAGGGAGAAAACACACAAATAGTATATTCCTTTAAGTATATTCCACCGAAAACGATGTCGTGCTGCACGTACAATGCGATCGTAACGAGTCTTGTTGGACGTAATCTTCTTCGCTGATTACTTCGCTAATGAAATACGACGGTATTTATCAAGCATGGGGCTCGGTCAAACCATTACTGTCCGCTCGGCAGTAATATTTTTATATTTCCTTTTACTATTCGTACCGATTTTCCTCTTTGACATATCTTCTCTCTGCGAGAGAATTCGTTTTACTGACGTTAATATGCTATCCAATATTGAAATATTTTTATATATAAAAAAAATATTTGAACCTTTTTCTCTTTCTCTCTTTTTCTTATTCAGTTTTTGCATCTGCATTTTACTAATTATTTACGTTCTATCTTTCTCCTAATCTCTTTTCGTCTCAATTTATTTAATTCAATCATTTTTAATTAGCGTTTAGTATTAAATTTACATATATTCCTTTCACTTCCTCGCGCTATATTACATTTTTTATCATTCGCTTTTTAATAATTTACCGATGACCGATGTATGAAAACCACGTTGAAAATCTCCTACTTCCATGTCTTTCATAGAACGAAAGTTACGCGTTAACATTAGATGTTAACGCACATGCCGCGTCGTGAGACGTCGGTACTATTCAAGATAAATGGAATCTATTTGTTTCGGCACAATTACTCAAGGGACACGAATGTATCCACGGCTATGCCCCTCGATTTGGATGCCACGTAAATTCTAGCCGCGATATATGAGGCGAGAGAGGCGGGTTACGGAATGGCAGACACGGGGCGGGACAAGGCGAACGGAAAAGGAATGGAGAAAAAGTAGTCGACATATTTTTGCACAACGAAAAATCGTAGAGGGTACATATACATTAAACACGCGTATGTAGGGTTAATAAATTTCAGGAACGCCAACAAGACCGTGTTCGATCGATTTTCGCTACCTTATGCGCGAGGAGAACGAGAATTACCCTGAGATTTTGTACATAATATATAGCGAGGTGAAAATAGAGGTGTGATAGAGAGAATGTGTGTGTCTGTGTATACGTGAACGTGCGGGTATGTGTGTTACGATAAAAAATATGAAAAGAGAAAAGGAAAAAAATAAAATGTTACGTTATAAGAAGATGATTGTAACGAAGACGAGCAGCTAAGTTGTAGAATTTCCCTCGAATAACGTCGCTCGCCGAAGTAGCTGTAAATACGAGGACGTACGTTTCTCTAAACTAACTAAAATAACTCCCCCAATGTGAAACGAGAGAAACGATCGATTTATCTCGTTCGAAGTCGTCCACGTGCTCGAAGTCGGATACGCGTATCCGGGATGTACGAATGATGAGCTATCTCGAGCGAAAAAACGGAATGCCTATGAGTGCCGGATGCCGGGTTGAGACGACATTAGATCCTTATAGGGAGATTCCGTCGACTTTTGCCGGTGAGATCGGTTTCGCGAAGATCGCCGAGCCTTCGTGACGATCCGGTACGCATCGTGTGTCACGTGTCTGCGCGCGGCTGCTCGCAATATTAATTAATTAATAACGCGCGTATATCGCACGCATGTTGCGTCGCGCGTGCACGCGTTTCATCCACGAGAGATCCGTATATTAATTAATATCCATCATAGTTATGATATTATAATGAATTATTATTTGTACAAATTTTATGTTGCAATATAAAATAAACGATGAAGCGACGATCTCCTGCGTCTTCGATTCTTTCCTCTCATTTCACTCTCCCTCGCGAGTTTCTTGTCATAAGTCAAGAACTACAATTGTTTTATTTGCGAAAGCTACAGAGAGTTCTTTGAATACATTTTTTCAATCTATGTTTTTTAATTATAACATTTTTGTAATATCTCGTTAAATTAAAAGAAAAAAAAGAACAAAAAAGGAATGATATGCTGTTATAAGGAGATTATTGTAATAAAGACGTACAGCTAAGTTATAGAGTTTCTCTCTAATTATGTCGCTCGCTAAACTAACTGCAAATACGAGGATGCACTTTTTTTTTAATTAATTAAATAGCGCCAGCCGGCGCATATAATTAAATATATTTTTTAACTTAACTCATACAGCACAGATCATTCCAGCAATACAGTAGTAATATTACAATAACATACAGTCATAAGTATAAAGCACCCTCAATTTATTGCATTTTCTTGGAAAAAGCTAAAGGAAAACTAACAAAATATTAAAATTATTATAAAAATGACTATATTATTTTCCAATAAAGTTGCAAGCTTTTGTGTTGCATGTGGTATCTCGAAAGTTTACGTCTCGATGTATTTTGAGGAAAAATTCGGCGTCAAACAGTTAGAATTTATGGAAAATCGAGTCTCAGATTCCCGCGTGCGATTTATATCACAAGGAATACGAACTATCGAGAGGTGGCCGTTACCTTCATCGACCTCCGCATCGAGATATCGACCTCGTGTGCTCGATTGGCGCGAGCTTGCGCCGTTCATAGCTTTCTCCCACTTTGTGCTAGATAAAACGCTGTAAGGCTTTTCACCCTGTGCGATATCCCTTGTTTCCCTCGGAAACCGAGGCGATATTTTATAGTCGCGACGCAAACGGCCGGTGAAAAATGCGCGGGGCGGTACGTCGCTGGGAACAATCGATACGGGACAACATGCAAGTTTCCACTCTTTCCAGTGACACGCGCGAACTGCACGATGCGACGTATAATACGTTGATGATGCTGTCGAAACGCGAGAAAATCAGGTAAGAGGGTAAGAAACGAGCAACGCAACGCTCCTCTCAGCAGTCGCATCGAATTACACGGCACGCTCTTCTTAGTGTTACGATAATAGCTGCTTTGACGCGCGCAAAGCTCTACCGAGCATGCTCGGTAATTCATGCTTCGAAATCCTGACAGTGATTTTAATTCGTTATGATAATAATGTTACGAAACTAATAATGCTATGGTAGTAACATCATCGAGCTTTCCCGCGTTCTCAGTCGAATAATGAGCATCGGATATCTATTATAAATAATGTCAATACATGGAATCCTCTTGTTAAATATTCCTTTAATATTCATATTAACTATCCTTTGTTTTAACGAGTGCAGAATAAACTGAAAAAATCGGAATATTTTTATATTAATTTATAATAAAAAAATCCAAAAATGATTTATTGTAAAGATAATTGTGCAAGCTTAATGGTGAAATATTTAAAAAGTTATTGCAATCTTTTAATTAATAGTTAATTGAAAAATTAATTTATAACCAAATTAATTTTATTAATTGTAATTTTTTAAGCTGATTAATTTGTCTAATTTATAAAAACGTACATAACTACTTTTGACTAGAATTGTCCTCAGTTTACCGAATAATACCGAATAATGCCGAAGAATACTTCTATTATTTCTTGTCCTTGAGATATTCCTCGAAATTGATTTTCCGAGGCATAATAAGAGCCGAACAGCGTAAAAGCATCGATGGTATGGCATTCTAGTCGTGTGACCGACGTCACCACGTGGTATATCGAATCGCTACTCCGTCGTTTTTCGGTGCTACAAAAACATTACGTGTATCTTTTGTGTGTGAAATATTATAGAAAGAAAATTTGTTTATTAATATTCTGTACATTATCGCGATAATATTAATACACAACATGGAGAATAGAAGATTTCTTCAAGAAAAATATTAGTAACAACGATCAAGATAAGTGAGACGATAGGCAATAATTATTTATTAATCACAAAAGTAAAATAAGTGTTGTATCGAGGAAAATATTGGAGCATTATACTGATTATAATTCAAGCGTACATCTAGTTTTGCAACATTTCTTTTGTGAATCAAGACGCTATATAAAAAATTTTGTGAATATCCGTGAGAAGTCTCATTTCATTGGAGAAGTTATCGTCAACAAAAATGTCCGGATTTCAATCGCATCCTGTAGTCCAGACTTTATCTATTCACCATTCTATTCGTATGTATAGGTATAAAATATCGACAAAGGTTTATTTTACTCGACACAGACCCAATCCAACCAATTCCATAATATTCTGCTAAATATATTTTATCTCTTTAAGAATATATCACTTAATCGTCGGTAGAAATGTTTACGATTCTTTTTTTATTTCGAATACTACGTAAAAATTTCATGTTTTTTCGTATCTTATCCTATTGAGAAAGAAATTATCGCCTTATCATGCTAACGATCACGCAAATCCGTGTAAAAGTTTCCGCTTTCATTTTTTCCCTTTCATGGCAAGATTACTCGATTAATCTCAAAAGTTCAAGATAATAATAGTTGCCAATGACACCAATGTGTCCCAGTAACAACAGATCGATTCTGTTATACGGGCATATTCACAGTCAATGTTCAGACGATAGTATACTCGGCGTGTCGTTGCGCCATATCGCTTGGTTACCGCGTGTGACATAAGGTATATTAATATTAGCACTGTCAGTATATCCGATTACTCAACGATATCCAATTATTGAGGTAATTCAAGATCAATCTGACTCGAACAATATCAAGTTACATTTGCTGCTTAAATTATCTTTCCATGTGCTGTTTTAAATATTCAAGATCTCATCGCTCATTTAATACTAATCTAATCTTGTCATCTACTTATTAATTAATATCGAAGATTACAATCTACACTAAATGTAGAAAACTACAAGAATAGAATTATTATTTATGCATTTTTGTATGCAATTATGTTTCATTTATGTAAGTAGCTATTCATGTGTGTCTTTAATTCTGTAACATGTTGAGCAATCTGAGTGAACTGCAAGGTGAATCGGTAAATTTATATTAATTCTTTTCTTTTCCTTCTTTAATTAAGCTCTAGTTTATCCTAACATAAGATTTCAGTGATTTCAGTGAACAATTATATTAATAATATTTCAGCCTTGGCCACAAATCCCTATAAGTTGACGTAAATCTTTTACTATACTAACGAAAAATAAATTAAGAAACAATTTTATAAAAAAGAAAATTATTTTTATAACAATTTTAATATTTTGTTAGTTTTTTTTTTTATTATCGCTTCTTCCAAGAAAATGCAATCGAGGGCGCTTTATATTTAGGACTAAGTTTACAAAAGGGCTGTAGTTAACAAAAAATTTAAGTTAATTAGAACGATTGTTAAGTTAGTTAATTAAGTTAACATAAGTGGTCTTATATGATTGTATTATTGGATTCAAATCATCGAGCAGATCGGACAAATTGGCGAAGTAGTGACGAATATTCGTGTTTGCTTTCGTAGCAGTCGACGCGCGGCAAGAGAGTTTGAACGACGACGCCGTGATCGCGGGTGTCGCAACTCCCGATTATCGACCACAGATGCAGGCCCACCATGGTCAAGGCGCAGCCGCGACCCAGGCGCGGTCGCCGCGATCAAAGCTGTCGGATTTCTTACATCTCTGGGTCAACAACATCCGACTACTTTACTCCTGGGGCAATCTAGAGAGCCTGACACCACAACTGCCCAGCACGATGGGTAATCTACAGAGCGATAGTAAGAAGAAGCAGAAGAAGAAGGATGCTGCGCCACCGATACCAACGTCCACGTCCACGGATATCGAACCCGAGACAACGGAGGACCAAAGGAAGGAGAAGCGGGATCAACCGCCCGCAGTTCCGGAAAGACGTGATGAACCTCATGAGCCGATCAAGATCAGCTTTGAGAAAGTGCATACACCGGGACATGTCAAAAGACCGGCACCGCCGCCACCGATGGTAGTGTTATCCAAGGTATGTATTTGGTACCACCTTTTTCTCTCAAGATGGATCAGTAAATTATCGATTGGATAAGAATTTTTTTAAAGACAGGATTCTGTAAGATGTTCCGTATAATTTAACATACTGAAATATAGCTATTAAAATAAAATAAAGATATATAATTCGTCGCTAATTTCTCATGAAGCGCAATGCAGAAAAATCGAAATGTCGCCGATCGAACGATGTATAAGGAAAGAAATTTTATGCTTTGGAAGTGTCTCTGCCTTGAGTAATAGTCATAGTGTAAAATTGTTTTGTAATTAGGACACGCAGGAGAGTGTAGAGCCTGAATGTCGCAAAGATACTGTAATAACAGCGAAGCCATGCGTAACAACGACGGAGTCTTTCCGCTCAAGTACCACGACATCGACGACGACACCAGCTCAGACGCCGACGACACCGCAGACGATCCAGCTGCCACCATTATTGGTGACCGATTCATGGCGTTTGGCAAATAAGAGCTTAGTCGTTACGGAAATGCCGACGCCACCCAGTCAAGAATCCTCGAGCGATAGTGTCTTTACTGATCCCGGAGAGCTTACTATGAGTCCGGTCACGGCAGGCACGAGACCGGAAGTGATGAAACATAAACCGATTCTAGAAACGATCGATAATAAGGAAGAAAAAGCTTCGTTCATGATCTCGAAGCATAAGAAGATCCATCTCTCAGTGATGAGTCCCCGAATAAGTGAGAACGATAATTTTATTAACGCTTAGTAGAAACACATAATAGATCATTCATATCCTGTGTGTTTTTTTTTAAATAATATAAAAAAGAATGATTTTGCTAAAATATCTGGAAAATTAGTTAGAGATACTGATCTGAAAATAATTTTATTAGACCATTAAAATAATTATGTAGAATGCTTAAGAGAATAATGGTCTCTATTCTTACTTTTTTTTTTAATACACAACCTTACAGATATTTTCTAAAGCTGTTAAAGTTATGTAAGAATCACGTAATAATTTCTGCATACTTGTAAAGGCGATGAAAATTATTTCAGACATGAACGACTCATTATATGTAATAATGAATCAAAAAAAATTATCATATATTATACTAAAGATTAATTTTGTAATTGTACACGTATCTTCTTACGTAATTGTGCAGAGCAATTAACATGCATTAAGAGATTAAATAAATCGACGATGACTCATAAAATCGCGTGTAATAGTCTATGCAATATGGATAAGTACGTGTTAAAATAGATTTACGATATTATCGGTATAAACCGTCTCTTGTAACCGTATCTTGTATATGATATGAAAATGATCTTTTTTAAGATTGGCTAACTTTTCACTGTCTAGAATGAGATTTCACTCTAAAGAATCTGGAGAGTAGATAGATTCAGTACTATTCTTTAGTAGTGAATAGAACGCAACTATAATAAGTCAATATGACTCACTCGCGTCCGGTTTCATTGTTGTCTAAAAATGTTTTATTTCTAGGCAAAACGTCGAGTGAAAAGAATGCGGTATCGGAACCGAGTTCGCGCACTTTACAAAGACGACACAGCGTTTACGAGTCTTCTGCAAACGAAAACAGAGTGCTAAGAAGAGTGGCTAGTTTGACCTTGGGTCGAAATAGCGCCAAGAAGAAAAGAAGCTCTAAAAGTATCATCTGTCAAAAGACGGATCGCTACAAGCAATCCGAAGGTAAGAGAAATGAGCGATCAAGATTGGAATTGTTGAAAAAAGACATATGTCGGAATTTTATATGATTTAATGATTATTAAAAATCTTATATTGAGAGAAGAGGACTTTTCAAAAATGTGAGCTTTCTAAAAGCTTCGGATCTCGCATCGGAAAACCGAAGCATATAAATGATGAAGCACTTCCAAGATAAAACATTTTTATAGTTCTTTATAGGTCAGCGTACGACCTAGAAGTCGTCATACACTGATGATTGCGAGTCTAACGCGAATCTTATCTCGTGACGGAAGAGAACGCGCGCGATAACATTGCGAAGGGTAAACATAGCGGTATACCTTTTGCTCACAGTGACGTAATGCACGAGAGAGACTTTCGCGAAAAATTGAGATGTTGTAAGACCAGTGGATAACGATAAATCGTCGTAATTAAGCAGAATTTGACGATAAGGATAATCAAACTCTTTCATCATTGGTGGCGATTAGGTGTTTTCAGACGGCCACCAAATAATCTGTATCATTCGTGGCCGAGGTTATAGCGAATGATACGCGCGAATCAAACACGCTTGTTTGCCGATAAGTCTTATCGATGGGGCGGTTCGCAGGGTTCGGTTCGAATTCTTGTGTCTCTCATGCCTGTCTACGAACGAGATGCGGCAGTTCTATGCGAAGCGCCGCGGTAAAATATCCGGAGTAGAAATAAAATTTGCTGTATGGTTGCGAGATGGAGAAGCATCTAATATCCTAATTCAAACGGACGTGAAATTGAAAAGTGATCATGAGAAAGAGACAACATCGCTTTTGCTTTCGCACGTGTACGACGCGTGTGTGTACATTTATGTGTGTCAACATCACCGTTGAGTACAAAAAGATATCTAACAGCGTAACTTTTTAAATTATAATTTAGCATAGATGAATTGATGATTTCGGCGGTTTTAAAAAAAATCCCTTCACAATCCACGACGTAATTAGAAGTTTTCTATTAGAAGTCATCCGTTGTTTATTGACATTTTTATATAATATTCTCTTAAAAATTACATTAATGATAAAGCGATTAGAAGATAAGGAAGATAAAATCGTTCATCTTGAATATAAAACGAGATAAGAACTACACGTTGATAAAGAATCGCTCGTTGCTTTCATAACATGCATTATTAATTAGGATGGATCGCAAGTTCATAAAGATATAAGATCGTTAATGCTTTGCTCATATAAAGCTTAAAGTTGAGATAAAACAGTTCGTCCAGAAATTTAATTAATACTCATGAAGGATTCAAGTGATAGCCAAGAGAGCAAAAATATTTTATGGTTTGATTGAAAAAAGTATTCGCCGAGCTTTATCATAATCTGAATAAAAAGACTAATCTTATATTTTGTGAATTAATGGAATTTTCAGAACAAGAACTGCCAATTTGTTTGACTTCTGCGCTATCAGACAAAGACGTGAAGAAAAACTTTACATCCATGGTAAGATCCTGATTTCTATTCGTTTAATAACAATCAATATATCCGTCGTGATTACTTACTTTTGGAATATCTTGTTTTAATCAGATAGACCGGACAGACATCTGCGCTTTGCCAAATGAACTTCATTCAGCTCGAAAATCGAATCAAGTCTGCTGTGAACACTCCATGCTTAAGGATACTTATTCATACGAGGAAGAGGTGAAGAAGCTGAAAGATGAAATCAAACGACTGCGCGAAATATCTACAGACTATCAGATAATCACTAAAGGCCAGTCTACTCAAACATCACCAAGAAATACATCACCAGTTGATGGAAACATTAGTGAAACAAGCAACTTACATGCTGGATTATCAACAATCAGAAGTGATGTCACGAATCTCGATCAAGTCAAGATGACTCTTGCGCTTTCCTCCACATCGATCGACATGGTCAATCGATCATGCTTATCACATAGCAGTCAAGCAAACGCACTTAGTGAAAATCCAGCGTCGTATCCAACGCCGTTACCACCTCCATTATCATTGGAGACATTCTCGAAAAACAGATCCATAACGACGTCTTTTATCCCACCGCCTCCACCACCGTCGTCTCCGTTTACGCTTGCTACGTCGGTGCGTGACAGCGAAAGGACAATTTCAGCATCATCGACGAAATTGATGGATGCTTCTCCTAGGATACCGACCCCACCGCCGCCACCTCCCCCCATGTCGGCGCAAAGTACTATGAATACATTGCCATCTCCGCCGCCTGCTCCATCTCCACCACCACCCACGCCGATGTTGAATACTACAATACCTATTCCTCCACCTCCGCCTATGCAAGTCATCATAAGCGCGATATCTCCGCCGTCTCCTCTACAAAACACGATACCGCCGCCACCGCCTCCGCCACCACCTCCACCCCCATTTCCGTTCAAACCGGTGCAGAACGATGAGATTGGTATACCTCCTCCTCCTCCACCGCCACCACCTATGCTTCCTCAAAGTGTAATGTGCGAGATGTCTTCTATGAAAATTACCATACCTCCTCCGCCACCACCGCCGTCTACGCCGATATTAAACACATGCGGGATACCACCACCGCCTCCTCCGCCACCATCACTTGCGGGCGTTACTAGCGCGATACCTCCACCGCCACCACCGTTACCTGGAATGGAGCAGAATTTTATGACTGGTCCACCACCACCGCCACCGCCTCCAGGTATGCCTATGCAGGATGGTATACCTCCACCGCCTCCTATTGGAGGTTCAGGTGCAGGTCCTCCACTACCGCCTGTGGCACCACCGCCACCCCCGGGAGCAATAGGACCTTGTCCTTTACCCGCTCCACCGATCGGAGGATGGAATCCGCCGAGCCGAGCCAGTAGGTATAATGATTTCAAAAGTACAGGGTACTCTCGATAATTCCTTTTGTTAATCGAGAGTACACTGTACATTCTTTTTGATTTCAAGATTCCGATATTTCCACCGCGTAACACAAGTTCCTCCCTTTTGTAGTTATGAGAAAGCAACCTTTAAATCCTGATGTGCCTATGAAGCCATTATACTGGACGAGGATTTTGGTATCAGTTACTGCAACCAACCAAACTTCATCAAGTACTTCAGATTTATCACCACAGGTTAGCAAAAAACAAACATTATAATATAATAAAATTCGCTCTTGACATAAAATGATGATTTCTTCAAGAGTGGCTATTTTTTGTCTTTAGGTGCCTCTGTGGTTAGAACTTGCCGAGGAGGAGAATTTAAACATGAAAGAGTTCGCTAATTTATTTTCAAGGCAGGTGAGAGAAAGGAATCCGACCAAGAAAAATGAAGGGACACCTCTCAAAAGTTCTAAGATCCAACCTGCAAAAATATTAGACTCGAAACGCTCAAAGATGGTCGGAATCCTTGAAAAAAGTCTGCATATTGATTTTAGCGAGATCGAGAATGCAGCTTATAATTTAGACACGAGCGTGATTAGTTTAGAAGCATTGCAACAGATCTACGAAATTGTGAGTAAATAATGAGATAAAAATATTAGGTATGGGAAAAAATTCGTGGCGTTTTTCCCGTTACATCTAATGGGAAAAACGCCACGAACTTTTTCCCACACCTAATATAATTAAAAATCCAAAATATGTAATATATATATAATATATATTCGTAAATACACTTTTTTTATTTTCTGATAGATTAATTAATTTTCGAAAATTTCAAGTTATTTTGATATTTTCTGAATTGTATATTTTCTGATTTGCAGAAACCGACGCAAAAGGAAATAGAAGAAATTGCAGCTCATGAAGCAATTTTTCCGGACATTCCTCTCGATCAACCGGAATTATTTCTCAAACGGCTGTCCGGTATAAAGCACTTCTCCGAAAGGATAGCTTGTCTGATGTTGCAATCGGAATTCCAGGACGCGATATCATCAGTGTCGTATAAATTGAATAATGTGCGAACTACCTGTGATTTTCTGATCAATTCCGAGCCTCTAAAAAAAGTAATAGCGATCATATTGACTTTGGGCAATTACATGAATGGTGGAAATATGCTGCGCGGTCAGGCTGATGGCTTTGGCTTAGAAATCCTCGGCAAGTTGAAAGATGTGAAGTCCAACGTACCTGGCATCACCTTGTTGCATTACGTCGTCAATGCAAAATTGTCCCAGGAAAAAGAACATAATTTCGACGAGCTATTGCCTTTACCTGTGCCTGAATCGGCTGACGTAGAAGCGGCATCCACAATTAAATTCGATGAGATCGCTAAAGAACTGGATAGATTAGATAGAGAATTACAATGTGAGTGTTATATATAATATATATTCCAATTCTAGAATTGGAAAGAGATGAAAAACAAATTGAACCTTGGTTAACCGTGAGTTGTGGAATTAGGCTTTAATACTACCATACTTCAAAAAATTAAATTTTTTAACAATAAGTTAACAGTACAATTATTATTTTTTGTATTAATCCGAATCCAGATGAAAAAAATGGGTGCAAATAATGAAATTGTACTCATTGAAGTAATTGAACTTTTTTATATTTATTCGCTTTATTTTGTATTTACTCGTTTGCTTTATTTGGCTCAACTTTAAATATAATTTACATAAATATATACGATATATAAAATTAATTTGTTTTAGCGTGTGCACAAATGTGTAGTACAATTGTGGAAGCAGATCCATCTACATCCAAAATATTCAAAAAGAAAGTAGATTCATTTCTATCAAGGGCGAATACCGAATTGGCGAGCGAAAAAGAAGATCTATTAGAGGCTAAAAACAAATTCAAAGCTGTGATGAAGTTCTATCAATTTATTCCTAAAGGCTCCACCCTGGAGACTGCAGAACCTTACGACTTCTTTAATCTGTGGCTTAGTTTCTGTCGTGACTTTAAGGTATAATTTACAGCGTCTGTAATTATTGATCGAGCAAATTACAACAGATCAATATTTTACAGGATATCTGGAAGAGGGAACAGCAACGAATACGAAAGGAACGACTGGAGGCAATTCGTAAAAAGTTCGAAAACAAACCCGAAGTTGTAAGAGTAAAATTAAATCCGCACGGATTAAAAGCAAAACTACAAAAACTCACGCATAAGAAGCAGACTCAAAGGTAGTCTTGTCGAAATGTCCACAAATTAATGATGACTTGAAGTTGGACAGTTTATACGTATAATCGTATTCGCTAAATTTTGAATTTCACAAATAATTCCATTTAGTACTCTGATATTCACAGAAAATTTATTTGTATATAATTTCTATTTCTATTTATTTATTATTTTCGAGTAAAATTGAATAAGATGATATTATTAATATTGTGAAAAAAAATTTTAGTTCAAAACGAGTAGACTGCTTTGTGCAAACTGCTATATTATTACTATATAGAATATGAAAATTTATTTATCTGCTCTGCCTAAAAACTTATTATAAATTTTGCGTTTATAAAATTATTTATTATGAAAAACGGCTTTTGAGAGAAAATTCATATTGCTCAAAAATAACAAGTAATTTTAAATTTACATTTCAATATTAATTATATAAAAAAAATATTGAAGGCACTTGAAATTCATGCAACGAAATGATCGGTTTCCAAGTATGATATGGATTGCCGATCGTGAAACATCCTTAAGCCCATGTCACACTACGCATTGGAGATTGAGGATTGCGAATTAGATATTATTTCAACCAGTCAGATAATTAATTTTAATTTTAATCTGTTTTGTTCTGATTGGTTGAATTCTACTCTTCAATTTGCAATCTTCATTATGACACGGGTTTTAGGTATCCAAACGATAAGAATTCTACGTTATATGCGAATATAGTTGTTACAGACTGAAATGTTAACAGTGCACTAAAACGACAATGTATACTTAAATAGACACAGTTGTGAAATTTATTAATTATTAATATCATATTAAAAAGAATATTGATATTTCTTACAAATATATTGATAATCTGACGATAACTTTACGGGTATTGTGAACGCATTCCAATCTCTATATTGTTCCGAGCGATTTAGCAAGCGCATCGGAAAATGATGTTCAGTAAAAAAAGGCTATAAACAAGGTCTGTTCTTTTTAGCTGCATTTTCTTACATTGTTTGCATTTGACATAATAAATAAATGACGCAAATCTTTAAAGAAAATTGTAGGAAGCTGCAGAAAAGGAAACTAAAGAGAATATACCTATATTATAATAAACGTCCATGATAATTCTAGAAGAAAAAAACTTTGTGCCTCGTTATACTATACATCTATTTCGTCAGTTTTCATTACTCTGCGCTAAAGAATTTCATAAAAGAACATCGATTGTGATAATTATTGTTACCTATTTATTTATTTATTTATTTATTTATTCGTTAATGTTAATTTATACTAGATTGTCATGGATTAATAAATAACAATGTATATAGAATGTTAATTATACGAATTATTGATGTTATTTAATAAAAGTTTCTTTATAAAAAATAGAAAAAAATGTATTCATTAATATTTAAAATTTATATTGTACTACCTAGTTTAAAATGTAACAATTTAGCATCCAATAGCATCCAATTTGGTTTCATTTCTCGAATATTTGCATTCTAACTTAATATCTAGAAAATTTAAGTATCATTTAAGTATCATAAAAATGTTAATTCTATTTTATGGAAAAAATTTATATCGTCCAAATACTGTTACTATATAACAATCTAATTTATCAACCAGGTCATTTTCTACTTTCTTAATCTAGGAATAATCACTACTGTTTTTGTATTTCAGCGGCGAGCAAATGAATTGTTGTAAAACTGATATTTCATTTCTTTTTTTGGACATATTTTCTTCCTTTTTTAAAAACTATTTCTTATGAATCGCAATAAAAAAGTGATATTAAATTAAACTTTTATTTTTTAGTAATACTGTTACATAATTAGCTATTTGCTTGTTTTATTTGACATTTATTTGGTTTCTATTATATTCTTCAGAAAATGATTAGCTTCATATCCATTGATGTTCTCAAATATCAATAATGAAACAATGAATAATATACCATATATTGTCAATTATAGTGATTTAATTTAATTGAAGTGCAACAAAAACAACTTGGGTAATTTTTACGTAAAAAAGTAGCTACTTTTATATAGGTTAAAATTTATTTACATACTATCATGATTATACAACTTCTGATAACATCAAGTGTTGCTGGTGCGCTGGTGCTGGCATTATATTATTGTTTAGTGTCCTCTCAAAACGACAAGAACAATTAAATTACATATTTCAAGATCAGCCACGTTGATAAAATTCGTTGCCTTGATACTCGGAATTGATTCTTATCGGTACGTAAGTTTAATATAAAAGAGGTATAATATAAAGGAAATAATATTTAAATATATCATTTCGAATATATATATAAAAGAAATAGAGAAAATATATATGATTTTTATCAGACATTCCATATATAATTCTTTTACATTACCGTTTATATGCTTTAAATTAAAATGCATGAAAATGCATTGTAGATAAAATTTTATTCGAATTATTTCCTTTTCCTCTTTTTAAATACAAAAATAAAGATTTATTTAAACTAATCTTGTACTTAATATCTTGGTTTTTTTAACGGAAAAAATATACTTACAGATGTACATAATGATAAACGGCATGACATTCTTAAAGTTGTTACTAAAAAGCAATTTAATATTTTTCGTTACGACAGCTATTGTTACCGACAAAAATTCGGAAGATAATCAGTTTGATTATCTATCACACAATATAATAGCATTGCATTATGAGATCAAACTAACACTTCCTATGATTGTCGAAAATTATACTTTCCATGGCGAATCCAACATTAACATTATTGTACGTCATCCTACGCAGGAAATAAATTTGCATTCAATATTTGTAGACCTAAATAAACAGGCTACATTAATTCACGAAATATCAAAAAGAATTTATAAATCATCAACTTATTCTTGTCATTATGAATTTTTTATTTGTACCTTTTATTTTAATGATTTGATAACGATTGGGACTTATATGTTCAAATTGAAATACAATGGTACTATAAGTGATCGCGAAAATGCTGATGGCTTTATCATAACTTCATATAAAGATGGTGAACGGAATTTTAAGTGAGTACACATTAAAATATTAAGAATATATGTTATGCTGTGTATATAAACACCGTTCAATGCAATTATATCATTTAACGAGATCTATATTAGCTTTGCAAGTGTTTTTGAAAAATTAATATAACTAACTTGTAACATTCCGATTTCCGTTATATGTTTAATAATTCGAAATTACTTTTGTGCACAGAATAATCTAATAGAGGTCACAAAGGTGTTTGTATTTTATTTTATTTTATAACAATTAGTATATAATTATACATAGTACTAAAATCTAGTTTGACCTATAGTTGTTTTAATGTTATTACTTTATCTAAATATTTGTATGCCAAATTTATTAATAAAATATATTGTTAAAATGATAGGTGGATTTACTCAGCAGGTAACTTTCAGAGTATTGTCGGAGTGCAATATGTATTTCCAGTTATAAATGATTTAATGTTTAAGGCCACATTTAACATCACCGTTGATTATCCTAAAACTTATACTGCTTTATCAAATATGCCAGTAACAAACAGAAAGAATATTAAAGCTCATACGATGAGGGCAAATTTTCAAACTACTCCTGCAATGCACCCCTATCTTATCGCAATTATAGTGGCCGATTTGGACACGCTTTATACTAAGAAAACATACGTTCCGCTGTGGTACAAAGATTTAAAAAGAGCAAGACAGCTGTATTTTGCTTTGGACGTTGCTGAAACTACTACTATATATTTGAAAGATAAATATTTTCAGAATGATACGTTGAATGATATACCACAAACGAATTATGTAGCAATTCCGTACTATCGAGATGACGGCTTGTCAAATTGGGGAATCGTTTTTTATAGGTAATATGTTGTATATATATATATATTTTATATACAAGAATAAATTGTACTTTTTTATAAGATGCCGGAGGATTATCCTTGCTGATTATCTCCGTGTCATGATCCATTGCTAATGCCAACATTTCGTGAACCTTGCTGTTCACTTCATCAGGATGAGGAGCGCACTGATATATCACTTTATCAATATATCTATAATACAGATCTATAATACAGATCATGGCACTGTAATAATCCGTAAATTCTTTGGTATCTTTGAGATAAATACTCGCGAAAATCTTAAAAAACATTATTATACTTTTTTATAATTTTTTTTCGAAAAAAAAATTTAAGAATATACTAAAGAAGAGGTTTTGATAAATTAATTAGACAATTAATGTAAACAAAGTATTTACTTTATTAATTGTTTTTTAGTCAAAAAGCTATTAGCTATATTAATGAATGGAATTCTATTCAGCGCAAGACAGAAGTTGCAGCCTTAGTAGCACGTAAAGTAGCAAATCAATTTCTTAATAAAATTACCTTATCTTATTGGTCTGACATATGGATAAATGAGGGCATTGCAACATTTTTGGGAACGCATGTCGTCGACAAGGTTGTTTTCTTCATATGTATTGTATTATTCACGCTATTAAACATTGGCTTTGTTTATGCAGTTAAAAGAAAAATGCTTGTTGATATTATAATATGGAAAGTTTTTCAATTTTTATAAGCTTATTCATTAAAAATAGAACACATTGTGCAACTGTTCTTATAAAATTTAAATTATGAGTAAGCAATCAGCCAACACGCATAAAATCGACATTTTAACAAATGAATAATATAATAAAAGCTTCCAAGAAATTTTTCCAATATTCGTTTTAATAAATTGCTAATTCGAAAATCCAATTATTTTCAATCAAACATTCATTTAATTACATTAAAATGTTTGTCTCTAGATTTTCACAGATCTTCGAATGATGGATTTATTCGTAGTTCGGACTCGATGTGAATCTCTTCATTTGGAATCTGTCACTAATGTGCCACCTGTTGTATTTCAAATTAAAAAATCTTATGACATCAAATTATTTTCTCTTTTCCGTTACAATAAAGGTAAAAATAAGTAATTAAACAATTTACGACCTGATCATCAATGTCACAAATAAGAATAATTATCTACAATAGAATTATTCATTATATTTATCTACAATTCATTTTAATTATGCTAAAAGAAAAAATATATAATATATATAAGTTAATTTAATAATATAAGTTAATTTTTTCAAATTAAATTATGCATATTCGAAGTATATATGTGTATGTATATATATATACATATATATATAGACAATAAGACAAATTTATTGTAAACATTTAAAGAATTAATCGTATATCATTGTAGCGTTCGTTTTATTACGTATGTTATATCATATAATTTCCGACGAAATATTTCGAAAGAGTATCTGCAATTTTTTAAACAATCAGTAAGTATTATCTAAAAATGTATAGGATAAGTATAAAGTATAAGTTCTTTCAATGAAATCTATTGTTTACTATTAACAATATCAAAATTTTTAAATTCAATTCAGGGTAGATCATATCGGCAATATCGAAGAATTGCATTCCAGTAATATTGCAACGATATTGGAAACGTTGTACCAATGTTGCTGCAACTTACTATGCTGTATGGGCAATGTGTTTGTTGAATCAACATCTGCCGATAATTTATGGGCTGTTATGCAAACTGCTCTGAATGAATCTAATCATACAAATAAATTTAAAAAAATAGACATAAAAAAAATAATGGACTTTTGGGTAACACAAAATCAATATCCTATATTAAAAGTGACACGAAATTATCGTGATGGTCGCACAGTAATATGGGCAGAAATGCGCAATATGTCTAAACGGAATGAATGGTGGATACCTGTGACCTACACTACGGAAACGAATCTTAATTTTAACATTACACCTTTCTTCCAAGAATGGATAACCTCTGAACAGTTTTTTATACACTTACCATCAATTAATGTGAATGATTGGATTATAGTCAACTTACAACAACTTGGTGAATATTCAATGAATTTATTTCGCTTTTATTTCTGTATCACATTTAAGTTGAACATTCCTAATTTCATTTGTATCTTTTATTTCTTAATGCTCAAAATATATAATATGTCTCATTATATTATATGTATAATATATAAAATTGATATATGATTAATTGTTGCAAGCAAAGTGAAATACATTAAATTTTATATACAATTTAATCATTATTCAGTTCTATTTAAATTTGCAGAGTTAATTTTTACGTTTAATTTTTAAAAACTGTACTCATTAAAATATTACATGAAATTACATGTTCTATAATATTAATTTACTTTGAAATTTTTGAATTATATGTGCAATTTTTGGTATTATTTTGGTTAAAGAAAGAAATACATAATTTTCAGACATATTTTTTGATAAATTAAAAGAATTTAATAATCAATTAAAATTTTTTATTTATTTATTTATAGGATATTATCGTGTCATGTACGATAAGGAAAATTGGCTAAGACTTGCAAGCTATCTAAATTCGAATAAATATAATAAGATACATGTTGTAAATCGTGCGCAAATCATCGACGACGCATATTATTTTTTGATAATGAAACAACTCGATTTTGATATGTTTAAAGAACTTACAATGTACCTATCGCAAGAAACAGATTATATAGCATGGTATCCTATGTTTAACATTTTTAGAAACATATTAAATCACTCAAATATATTTTCACATCCGGAAGCTGCATCTATCAAGGTAACAGATTTTTGTGATGAAGAAGTATCACATATTATATTTAACATACATAATATTGAAAAATAATAGTTTTTAAACATTTTTATTAATTTTTTAAATGCTGTGTATACATACATACATACATACATATATATATATATATATATATATATATATATACATACATACACATACATATATATAGCGCAATCAGATTCGTAAATCTTGGAACAACATTATATTCATTTATAAAATAAAATATTTAATAAACGATATTCACACATAAGCTTAAAAGACGCTTCTACATGTATATAAACAACAAAAATTGATACATTAAATTCATTATTATTTAAATATTTTTAGGAACACATGCGAAATATCATGTACAATCTTCTTAAAAAGATTGGATACGTCAATCGAGTTGACGATAACATTCATATGATATCTTTGAGAGACGAAGCTGCGGAATGGGCATGTTTCTTTGGTGATGAAACTTGTAGAAAAACAGCTTACAAAGAATTACAAAACTATATGACTCTCATGACTAAACACAGGTTACTAAACATAATTTATTGTTTAAACATGATTCTGATTGTTACATTTTATGACGCTGTATTTGTTATTCAATCAAGACAATAATTTTAATAGAATAGAATTTTTATAACAGATTTTTATTTTTTTTTTTATATTGTAGAGTTTTATTGAAAAAGTGGATAGCCTGTGGAGGTTTAATGACAACAAACATTACTAATACTTGGTATAATATGTATAATAATTTGTACAGTAAACTGTCTGATAATGTAATGTTAGAATATTTGCCTTGCGTTAAGCAACCAGCTGTAATTAAGGATTATTTGAAAATAATAAGATCGAAGAGCGAAATATCAGACAATAATTACAATAATATTTTTTTTTCTGTTATTGCATATCATGCAAACAATGATGATATGCTTTCTACCATACTTACAAATTTTGAAGCAGTAAAACCCAGGTAATGATATTTTTTTTATCAATATATACTACAGTATATATTATAAAAATCCATGTTGTACAATTAGTTATAAATTTTTTTCTTATAGAAAACTCAACTTTTTGGATATAATAAGGCGTATTATTAAACATATATACACTGAAAAACAATTTACAATGGTAAAATATTTTAAATATAAGTACTGCGTTCATTTTTTAGTTTTTTATTGTTAAGTTTATCTTTATCCCTACATATATGTCTTGTCTTATCTTATATTAATTAATAATATATTAAAAATGTATATATTAATATATTAAATTTAAATCATTATTTTGTTTTATCATATAAAATGCAAATTATTAGTTAAATAAAATTGTTAGTTAATATTAATATAATTTGATTTAGATAAACGATTACGTGAAAAATAAACAAAGACATCTAATTTCGAATGTAAAATACGAGATAGATGATCACTTGTCTGAAACGAAAAATATATTAGATTGTTTTCTTGAGAATTCAAGAAAATCAAAATCACTTGAATTTTCGATGAATTTTGATTATATTGATATCATCGAGTTGAATGAATTAATATGTACTAAGTAAGTAAATTATAGCAATTATTAGATAAGTTTTATCGCGTATTTCGAAATTCTAAAGAAAAAAAAATTCGCGTATCAAAATTATACATAAATTAAAATTAATGTTAATTAAAAGTGACGTTAACTTTTTTTAGTACGATTTTTGCGTCATATTTCTGTATTAATTAATTTAGAATTTATATTTTCATAAATATTAAATTCTATATAATAAATACGTATCTATCGCTATATATAATTAAATGTATAAGAGATATTCTATGTTTATATCTCTTACATTCTTTCTTTTTCCATGAAGAAAATAATATTTTAAAAGACTAAATTATGTAATAATAATGAATTTCTGTTTTATTTTTCTATTTAATGATAATGAATTTCTGTTTTATATTTTCTGTTTTAGATAAGCTTTGTAGAAGGTGTTTCTCTTTTAAAAATTTTCTATATATACTGATGAAAGTTCAAATATGATTGTTAAAAATCGAGAAATATTAGTTATTTTCAGAGTTTTTTATGAGAGTTTTCATATTAAATGTATAATTATTTGTATATGTTTACATGTATAGACATATATAGATATGTATAGTGTATATGTGTAAATGTGTATATGTGTATATGTGTAAATAAAGTTTTATATGTTACTTATTTTCAATTATATTTTGTTTATTAATATAATAATTATTTTCACGGTCAGTTTTTAATAATATCTGATTTCACGATCAGTCTTTAATAATATCTGATTTAATAATCTGATTTAATAATGTTCTTGGCTTATAATATAATTAGTACATGAGTTTTGAAATTATATAAAAAATAAAAACAATTGTAACTAAGTTTTTTCATTCATGACTTCCAACATCTATGATCTAAATCAGGCCTGTCCAATTTGAACTCCGGAGCCAAAATGCAAAGCCACCGACGTAAAGAAATTCAATGTGAATAAGATCTCGGAGACTGTAAAGACTGTTGATAAGTGTCATTTAGGTGTGTATCGACACTTTACAGTCTCCGAAATTTTATTCAGATTTTTTGTATCAACAGTTTTGTGTTTTGGCTCCGGAGCTCAAATTGCACAGATCTGATCTAAATGATAATTGGATACAGTCAACGCGACACTACAAACGTTTTCAAGCGTTTTTTAATTGGTCAATTTGTAAAATTCTATTTTCTAATTAGTCCGTCAAAGCATTTCTAGTGAGACTTTGACTATGCCAATGTCATCGATATTCCACGCTCTACTGCAAACTTGAGAAACCTTAGGCTATTGCTATGTATTTATATATAAAATTCCATAAATAATAATTAATAATAATGATGATAAATTCACATTTACAAAAAATTGTATCTATATTATTTATATTTACGACAAAAAATAAATAATTTATCATTCATCTACCACTGTGCACATCAAGAGAGACATGATTGTATCAAAGGATCATGTATTTATATAATGAGAGCTATTTAACTGTAAAATCCTTAGATTAATCAAAATTCAATAAATTGATAAACCAAGTTCTTATTTTTATTTAATGTAATTAATGACTTAGGTTTCCACAATTTCTTTATTTAACAAACATGTTGTCGAATTACTTTCAAAAAGAAAAGCGAAAAGAAAAAAAAGCTTAATACATTTATCATATATTTTAATCTATATAATGTACGCGCATACATATATTGGATTGTTCGGAAAGTTCGTGCCGATTTTGAAGGAAAATTGAAACGCAGATTTTAATTTTTAATTTCATTTATTAAATTTAAATCTTTTAAACTTTTCGGACAACCCAATATGTATAAATAAAACACGAAAATAATTACAACTGTTAAATTACAATACATATATACATATATACATATATATATTCTACGAGAAAATTATTTATTATAAGGAATAAAAATGCTGAATGTGGAACACAGAACTTTTTAATCGAATTTTTTTTTAAAATCTTATCAATTAGAGACACAAAAACAACATTGATTTGACTATACCAGTAATCTGTTACACGATACATACAGTTAGTTATTATATTATTGAAGATACATATAACCTTACAGATTATTTTCACGATATCATATATTTATTACGAGTTATTGATGTTACCGTCAGTATTCAGTAAACACTCAACAAATAAACTGATTAAAGGAAACATATGTCTCTTATTAATAACGGTCAGCTATTAACGATAAATTTCTACCAAAAACAGTTAAGCATGCAATTTTAAAATAAAAGGTAACGGATAAGAAACATCTTTAGTCCTCTTTTTAGTTCTTCTTTTTAAAGATAAATATATAAACTAAATATATATATATATAACTAAATATATTTTAAATAATGCAAAAGTACAAATGCAGCACTATTTCTTTCAATTTTTCACTTTTTAATTCTGAAAGAATAAATATATTTTGAAAAGAAATTATTTTTTTAAATAGACTTTAAATAGACTAGAAATTCATTTGCTTTTAAAAAATATAAATTTAAATAAAGATGAACAGGCCAACACAAACTAATAAAAGCTTTTTTTATTTTCGCGCATTTGTAATTTGGTTGAAAGAAACTTAATACAGCTTTTAATTAATATTCTCCTTCCATTAATATTATGTTGACGCGCGGATATCTGCATTTATAAATTATATTATTTATTCTTAATTAGATTTTAGGCGTATATTTATTTATGTGTCATAGTTGTGTCATAAATTCTATAAATGTGTATTGTATCATTTAGAAATAATTTTACAACAAAAGAATCATTGAACACCAAACAAAAAGTTAATAACAATTTGAAATAATTGTATTTAATCTATATTATTATTGATATATATGAAGTTAGAAAAAGGAAAGAAATATTTAATACCGCTTATATCATGCTCTATATAATTTTTCGAAATACATACTGTACTTATGCATTCAATTCATAATCTTTAATCGAACCAGTTAATTTCTAATACTTTATACGTGAAATTTATTTGTTTCAAACAAATCAACAAAAAATAAACACTAATTTACAAAAGGAAATATATATATCAAATATGAATTTTTTTTAAGTCTTTAATACACAATATAATAGTTACAGGTTACAAGACATAAAAGTATGTATATATAGTAAATGAAATAATATTGTAATAACTTTAAAAGAATGGATTCGAATATTTATTGTTTAATAGAGAATATTATATAATACAATAAATTATTACTGAAATATCATATATTATAATAAAATGTTACGATAATTTCTTTTAATTGTAAAAATTCAAAATATTTTATTACATTTGTATTAAAAATAAAAATGCTTTATTGATAGATATCATTTATCAAAAATGTTTTTAATAAGATGATATAGCAAAATTATATAATTTAAACTAGAAATGTATCCAATTATTTAAAAATTATTCTAAGATTTATTAATTAAAATCAAATACAAATTAAAAAGACATAATTCAATAATGTAGAAGTAACTGAAAGAATATCGTAAAATTACAATTACATCATAATAGTCATTAAGTCTTGAAAAAATACGATGAAATTCCATCATATTACGTTAATACAATTTATATAAATATATATTAAACAAATTATTAAAGTTTTTTCATACAGATCTTTTTTAACGAAATTACATTGATTTTGTATCTTTTCTATTGTATTCAATGTAACTTTACAATAGCGGAGACTCCATTCAGCTCTTCTTACTTTCCTTCCTCCTAATAAAAAATGTTGTTACAGATACTGGAAATGAGAATGATGGAATTAAAAATATTGTTAGGCATTAACCTAATATTCATCTCAGTAACGTTTACTAACAATACCGAATTGGACAAACCTTTTAATCATCAATTTAAAACAATAAAACCAATAGCCTATAACGTCACCTTAATAATATTTAGAAACGAAAATGACTACAAAAATGAATATATGTTTGAAACGGTGTTTTATAGTAGTAATTTTTATGAATTTTTTGAAAAAATTATTTATAAACAATTAAAAAAAGGCAATTTTATTTTCTATGGTGAATCTACTATACTTTTTGAAGATATTTATGGAAAACGTATATTACGTCTACATGCAAAAAATATGGCAATAAATACATTGGCGACAAAAATTCGTTATTTTGCCAATGATACGTACCATGAGATTGTTCCTATAATGCACAAAATACACAAAAAAAGCGAAACTATCGAAATTATTTTTGATTATCCTTTCCTACGAGGCATCAATACTTATCGAGTAACTATGAAATTTCTCGGGAGTATAACTGATGATAAAGGAGGGATTATTAAGAGATCTTACATAAACGATAAAAACAAAAAGTCGTGAGTAGCATAAATCTAATAAATTTAAGTATATTTTCTATATAAAATTTATTTAAGAAACATTAATAGTGCTACTTTTAAATTTACAAAAGAAATATTTTATATTTACAGTTATTTTATATTTACAGTTAATTTGCATAATAATCTAAATTTATATCATTAACATTTTGTAAATACATAAATACTACTAACAAACATAAAAAAGCTGAGAATAACGGCGCAGAAATCTTATACAGCGTTAATTACTGCTGTTATCATTAGTTACCTTATATATTTGTTGACACAGTATAGTGTCTCTTAATAAATATAACAAACATATAAGACAACTGATGTAATTAACGCGTTATAATATATAAGATTTCTAGTAAAAAGTGTACTTTTTACTTTGACTTTTAGAATATAAAATAAATAAATTTTTAATAAAAATCTTATTACGCTTTAATTACAATGCCGTTACTCTATCTTGCGCCAAGTATATATTGTATTTTCTTGATACTCATATGCCGACGATGATTGAAAGTTAAAAAATTTATATTGTTAAAATATGTTACAGATGGTTATTCATAACTGATTTCCAAGGGGCTGGAGCCCGACAAATATTTCCGTGCTGGGATGAGCCGGATACTAGGACCAATTTTACTATTTCCATAAAGCATGATCAATATTATAGGGCTTTATCGAATACAAAAGTTACTAACATGTTCAGCGTTAAGCATGAAAAGAATTGGACACATTTCGAACCAACCGTTAAAATATCTCCTCACCATGTAATGATTTTATTGCACGATTTTAAACAAGTAGATAACTCAAACATGTGGTGTAGAGAACAAGTAAAACAAGACATGGAATTCTTACAGTCAATTGCTCAATTTGCCACACTTCATTTAAAATTAGAATTTGACGACATAATATATCCACAAACAGTGATCCATGTTGTAATTCCGGGTTTCTTAGACTCAGGCATGCAAAGTTGGGGAACTGTCCTTTATAGGTAATGCTTTCATATAAAGAAAAAAGATTTGAATCTTTTCATTTGAAGAAATGTACTTAATGTTATTGACATTAAGTGCATTTAACATTCAATTAAATTAGTTCTAAATAAAATATTTAATTAAATATTAAATAACGAAAAAAGATAACTTAATACAACATTTTAATGAATGTATAGAATAATATATATTTACAGCTCATATTACTTACATGTATATTGAAAAGAAATCATTTATATACTAAACAAAAATTAAATTCGATACATATAATAATAAGACTTTTAACTAAATTGTTTTATTATTTTTTAGAGAGACTAATATCCTCTACGATGAAAAATTAGATTTTATTGCTTGGAAATTTGAAGTAGCATTTATGATAGCACGTAAAATTGCACATCAATACATTGGCAATCTCATAGCCCAACCTTCATGGTTTCATCTTTGGTTAAACGAGGGTATTGCTACATTTTTGGCAATTAAGACAGTCAATCAGGTTGTCCTCTATAAATAAACTTTCTATGTCATTACATAATTAAAAAAATTAATTAATAATATAATCTAAAACATAAAAATATATTGAAATAAAACGTATTCTTAAATTGAAGTAATTTATAACTGGGATATAAAAATTTGTGACAAATAATTTGAATGCATGGATAATTTTTATTATAAATTTGGAATTTATTTTTGAAATTGTTAATAAATTTTTAAATTAGTAGTAAGAATAGTTTTTTAAGAAATAAAACATTTTTATTTAATAATTGTGAATAATGTTGTAAGTTGCGGTTGAACAACAATTTAATTACATTCAATTTTTGTCACTTCTAGCACTTCTCACCAGATTATTTCCAATTGATGGATTTACTTGATGTAAAATTTCAGCATGAGTCTCTCAATTTGAATGATTATTATAATATGTCTCTTATATACGAAATTGATACACCATCTGACATTAATTCAATTTTTTCTTTTACTCATTATATTAAAGGTAAGAAAATCAAGATGTAGTTAAATAATTGTTGATATGAAAAATTTTAATATAAAAATAAAAAATATATGCAAAATAAATTATAATTACATTTATTAATAATTTATTTATAATTAAGACGTTCTTAAACTTATTGTACAATTGAGAAAGGGATAATTCTATGTGAAAAGAATAAATCAAAAATAAGAATAAGATTTTTTCATATGGAAGCTTTGTTTTCGAGCGAATCGATTATCGAGAGTATATGTACTTTTAATTATGTTTTAACTTGATAGATCCACACTGTGAATCCTTATTTTTCCTCATGTTTGTTTTTATTATTGTACTGGGTCAAAAGTACAAAATAAAAACAAGATATTTACGCACATGAATCTTATTACTTTATAAATTGTTGCAAATATTGTCTGTTTTGTCGAATATATAATTCTATCCTTTGAAGTAAAACCTTTTACAAAAGTCATCTAAGATATTCTAATGCTTTAATTTCTAATTTATCAATTAAATTTATATTCCGCGACTATTTAAAATCACTTTTTTCAAAAACAAGACTTTGCGTGAAAAAATTTTATTCTAGATTTTCGATATATGTTTTCATGCGAATTCCTTTTTTGATTATATTACAAGATTACGAACATATGTTAATTTGTTATGTTATGAGACACTTTTAAGTAAGATAAAAAATACATATGTATACTAAGAATTTTATACTTTTCTACCAAATTTATTATATTTTAAAATTTAAAACCGTATTTAAACTATTTTAAACATACTTCAACTCTTTTTATAATAGAGATTATAATTGTTGTAGCACCTGTCTTTGTACGCTCATTGGATAAAATGCTACCTGAAGATATATTTCGTATAAGTATCGCCGATTATATATCAAATTAGTAAGTAATAACTGTAATATAATTATTTATTATAATCAGATATAATTATTTATTATAATCAGATATATAATCATGTAATAAATGGATATTATAATTAAAAATTGCATAGAAATAAAATATATGAATAAATTGAGTAGCCATTTTTTATATATATTTATAATGCAATCTGCCTTTAATGTTAAACTTTTTATATTTAGCTCGTTTGAATCTGTCAATACTTGGACCACTCCTCTCGAAAAGTTTTTTGCTATCATAAAAACAAATCTAATGAGGGAACACTTTAATTATACAGAACACTTTAATTATACAGAACATATTGACGTAATAAAGATATTTACTCAGTGGGCAAAACAAGAACGCTATCCCGTGTTGGAGGTGCAGCGAACACCTTTCCTAAACGAGATTAAAGTATATGTAGTTAAAGGCCCCGAAAATTTGTTGATTCCTGTAACTTATATTACACAGAGAAATCCTTATGTTTTACACAATGCATGGCTAGAAAAACCAAATTTTTTATCTGTTTACGTTCATAGTAGCGACTGGATCATTATCAATATACAACAAACTGGTGAATATAAATTAATAAATATATTATGCTTTTATATCTATGATGTAAATAAAATTTTACATACAAATTGCATATTTAACAATGAAATGTGTGCATATACAGGATATTATCGTGTTAATTATGACTACGATATTTGGCAAAAACTTGGAGACTATCTAAATTCAACGGAATATTATAATATACAAGTTTTGAATCGTGCTCAAATCATAGATGATGCATATTATTTTTTATCAACAAACAAACTTGATTTCAATCTATTCAAAACACTCACGTATTATTTATCAAAAGAGACAAATTATATAGCGTGGTATCCTATGTTCAAAATTTTAGAACAGATATCGGGTTTTTTCCCATTTCCACAAAGTTCCGAAGTTAAGGTAAATAGTAATGAAAATTTCGTCAACAATTAATAATTATTAATATAATTATAAAGGAATTAAAACATGAAGGTATTTCTTAAACGCATATATATATATATATAATGTTATGTCACTTGTTACTGTAAAAACAAATCAATATAAAATTTATGTTATTTATCAATATTTAGGAACACTTTCGAAATATCTTAGATAATGTTTTGAAGAACATTGGATATTTAGACAATATAGAGGAGAATGAATTTACTAAAAGTTTAAGATTAGAAGCCGCAAGATGGGCATGCATTCTGAAGTCTGAAGACTGTACTATTAGTGCCATTTCTCATTTAATACGATTTTACGAAAAGTCAGATCCGTATGAATAATATTTTTTTTAATTAGAATTTTTCTAATCAATTTCAATGTGGAACAAATTATCAAAATATAAAAAAAAGAAAGAAATTGAGCAAGGTTTGCGTCAATCATTAATAGGTTTAAGTCGATTTTAATTCAATTGATTCGATTACATATAAAGATTGAAACTAGAAGTGTAGTGTGCCAGTTGGAGTTTAGAATCTCAGAACTCTCTAATGTCACTAACAGAACTCTCTATTGCACTATTGATGGCTCAAAATAGAGCTGAAACGTTTGTAATGTAAAAGATGTAATTGATCGATATATATTTGTTACTTACACTCCAATAATTGCAGTGCGTGATTATTCGCTTAATTTGTTCTTTTTTACATATCAAGAATTTTTTAATTTATTATTGTTTATCAAAATATAAAATGACAAAAAAAAATTAATTGATGTAATAAATGTTTAATTTTATTTTATAGCAAGACCAATCCGATTGTAGCATTAGGAAATATGATTTATAATCATCTAAAGTCTGAAAAACAGATTAACACACATTCTAGAATTTTGCCGGGATGGAAGGAATGGATGTATCGTAACGGAATAATGTCAGCAAACAATATTATTTGGAACAAAGTATTAACTGCAGATGCATTAGACAACAAACGTTTAGAATATTTAGCATGTTCTGAAAATGATGCTATCATTATTAGCTATATCGATCGGTTGATATCGGGATATTTTACTAAACTAAAACATCGCATTACAGTTTTTCATTCTATTATTGCAAAACATGCGAAGAATGATTTAATACTCAATTACATATTAGACAATTTTGAAAAAATAGTTCTAATAATATCCAGGTAACAATATTTTTATAAATACACATTAATTAAAAGTTTATTATGTGTACTAATCAATTATATCTGGCTTTTATTTTTACAGCAAAATTGAAATGCTTATAGCGATAACAGACATTATCAATTATATATATTCTACAGAACAAATTGACAAGGTAAATTTTATAAATATACATATACCGTATCCTAATTTAAACGATTCAATCAATTTTCTTCGAAATTATTGCTGATACAAACAATTGCAGCCTTTCATAATTTACATATACATTTTTCTTTGCCTTCTCTTATATCCTCGATTATAACAGTTACGTCTCGCTTTCTGCCATCAGCTTAAATATATATAAAAACCAAACTATAATTTTTTGTTTATTTTTTATTGATAAACTCTAGCTAGTTCCTTTTTCCTTTTCATAATTATTGTTGCCAATCTTTTTCCTATTGTTTTTTTAATTCTTGAAATGAGATAAAAAATAATGTATTTAATGTGCTATGAAGCATAAAATGCCTTAAAAAGAATAAATCATATATTAATGAATATCGATATTTTCACTTTCAGGTGAAATATACACTGTTAGAAAAAGTACATTCTTCTTTTAATCTTTATTACATTAATAAAAAAATAGAGTTACGATTATTACAAATACAGAAACACATTGGCTACTTCGAGATATTTTTAAAGACAAAAAGTTAACAGTTATAAGTATAACTATATTTAACAATATTATATATATAATTATATATATATATATATTTATGTTATGTACATATACATATATTTTGTTATATAATTAAATAGATCGACATGAATTATTTTATATGAGCGATTTCGTTGGAAAATATATTTTTGGAATCAATTTATAAGCTAACAAAAAGACAAAATAAAAGATATTTCATATATGAAGTTAGCAGACACTTTGAGTATTTCTTTTGCAAACCAAATAAATAACTATTTAACAATATTACAAATATATATAAATAAATTGTTATCTCAATAAACATTTATATTTTATTATTAGTTTTATTTTAATTACCAATTAGTACATAATCCTTTTTAATATTTTAATCTTTAGTAGTACATATCATCGATCGTTAATACATATGATCGTTAATACATTTATTGATAAATGTATTAGAAATTTGAAGAAATAGTAGTAATTATGGTTCAACATTTAGTTTTATATTATGATCTAAAAGAATATAATGTGCAAAGCATTGTAAATTTGGGAAATAATGAACATAGTTTATAAAATTTTAATAAAGATTTAATTAACAATTGCTTTCATAATATAACTTTAACTTTTGCTCAATATGCCGCATGGATAAGAGCCACTTTATAATTATTGTAACAAAATTTTTCTTTTATTTACGAAATGTGTTTATATATAAGTATTAAATTATTGAATCAGATTAATACGCAACGTTTGCAATTCTCATTATTATATCATAATTGAAGATTTATGATAATTTGAATAAAAGATATATATATATATATATATAATAACTGAAGATCATAACTAGCTTCGCTCTATCTTATTTCTCTATCGAGAAATCTAATAAATTACAAATATAGGTACATTGTACGAATAAAATTTTTTAATTAGATGCATATTTCTGGAGAAAAATTATTATTTTGGATTTAGCAAATAATATTGATTTATTTGACTAAATCGGTAAACATTATACAATTATACGCAATTGTATTATTGTTATTATTACTGTTACACGATTTCAAAAAGAAATTTTCATAATATTTATTATGAACTATTAATATCGCTAATGTTCGATAAACTCTCGACGTGTAAGGTTGACTTCTCAAACATACTTCTGTTAATAATGATCAATTTTTAACCATAAATTTTCAGGAGAAATTATATCTTATTCGAAAATATAATTTCAATGTAAGGTAAGAGACAAAAATAAATCTATTGTTTGTTTAAAGATAAATATAATAGATTATACTCTAAATAATTCTAAATGCGAATATACTAATTGTTTTTAATGTGTTTTCGGAGTTCTTGGAAAATAAATGTGCTAAATTTTGTATATAAATTTCAATGATGAACTTCCCTCATTGGACAATGTTTGTATTCTTCTTTCTTCTGACAACAAAACATTAATTATTGTTAGATATCTGAAACGATGGTTATCATGGAATTGATAAAATTGTTATTAAGTGTTAGTCTCATTGTTGCAAGGACTATTACAAATAATATTCTACCAGATGAACCAATTCCTATAATTGAAGAGACATTATTGAAACTAATACACTATCATATCAATTTAACGATATATACGAACGAAAATTATATAAATACAGATTTTTATACAGGAGAAGTAAAAACATATATTGATAATGAACGAGCAAAAAGCAATTTTATTTTTTATGGTGAATCCATTATGCATTTTTATCTTACAAATGGAGTAAATTTTATAGAACTGAATACAAAAGGCCTAAAAGCATATTATACGGGAAGAATTTTTTTTGATTATGAAAGTTTACATTTGAATCAGGAAAAGATACATGGTTTATTTAATAATAAATCAGCTTTCATTATTGTTGATCATACTTTTACACGAGGGTGTCAATATTATTCTTATCATTTATTCATGAAATTTGTTGGTACAATAACTGATAACACAGGAGGCTTCTTCAAAATACCCTATGAGAATGATATAGGAGAAAAAAAGTGAGTAGTATAAATTTAAAAGAATTAATAACATTTGCTAAATAAAATGTTAATTGTTATTTGCATAAAATATACATGTACTATTTTGCATATATATATATATATAATAGCAACATAAATATAATAAATGTGTCATAACATAAATATATAATATAAAATATTATTATCTGTTATATTAAAAACCAGAAAAGATGTAATAATTTATATAATGAAAAATGTGCTACATACATATCACTCTCCAATTGCCTTTTAGCCATGTTTCAACATTTTCCTTCAATACTTATATGCCGGAAATAATTGAAAACATAAGATGTGATGTAAAAATACTTAAAATGTGACAGGTGGATAATCGTAGCAGCAGATTTCCAAGGGATTGGAGCGCAACGAATATTTCCATCCTTGGACAAATCAGCTCTCAGAGCTAATTTTACCATTTCCATAACACATCAACCAAATTATATAGCTTTATCGAATGCGAAAATTAACGTTACACGTACAGAAACTCTTGGAAACAACATCGCGGTTACAACATACTTCGAAACAACTGATAAAATATCTCCTTATCAAGTAGCGATTGTACTGTCCGAACTTTCAAATTGTTTTGATTCTATGTTGCGCTGGCGGTGCAGACGATATGTGCAGCTCAAAGACATAAAATATGCACAGGACCTAGTTGAAAACTTCAAACCATATTTAAAAACTGTATTTAAGAACTCAAAGCTTCCACGTCAAATAGGTTATGTTGTAATCCCTGGTTTCAAAGACGAAGGCTTGGAAAGTTGGGGACTCGTTCTATATAGGTATTATTTATATATACTAAAAAGTAAAATTTTCATTTTAGAAAAATTTTATTTTATTAAATTTCATAGAATTGCAAAATTTAAAGAAATGCTCATGTTATTGTACTTTAGATCAATTCAATTACATAAAAATAAAAAAATATGATTTCTTAAATACTTGTATTAACGCATACATAAAACAATGCATATTTACATCATCTACACATACAAAAAAAATATGATTTTTTTAACATCAGATCAAAATAATTTCATTACTTATAACAAAAGAAGATCTTTGACTACTTTATTATTTTAGGGAATTACTTGTTCTTTATGATGAAAAATTAGATACTGTTGCGCGGAAATTTGAACTGGCACGTATAGTAGCACATAAAATGGTGTATCAATTCTTTGGCAATTTGATCAGCCAATCTAAGTGGTCTTACTTGTGGTTAAACGAGGGTATTGCTACGTTTTATGCAATGAAGCTTCTCAACAAGGTTATTTTTTTATAAATATTTTTTTACTAGCAAAAAAAAACGCTAACTGATAGATTATAGAAAACTCGTATACATTATTCTTATTTTTTAAGACTACTAAATATTGATTTTTAATTTTTTTTAAATTTCAATGGGATCTGAAATATAAATTGAGTTAGAAAATACTCATATACCCTAAAATTGAAATTACACACACATAAAACCGGAGAGAGGGAGGGAGGGAGGGAGGGGGAGGAGGGAGAGAGAGAGAGAGAGAGAGAGAGAGAGAGAGAGAGAGAGAGAGAGAGAGTATGAGTTATTATCAAATAATTCAATCAATTTTCATTAAATTGTAAGTCGTTTTAGGAAATGTTATTATATTTTTTATTATAATAAAAAATAGTAAAAAAATTATTTTTCTGTAAACAATACATAATGTTATATGATCCAATTAAATAGTTACTTAAACGTATTCAAATTTTTATTATTGTAGTATATAAACCCTCAATTGATGGATTTACTCGCAGTACAGTTTCAACATGAGTCTCTTCGTTTGAATGATCATTACGACATGCCTCTTGTATCAAAAATTGACACGTCTTCTGATAATACGACATTTTTCCCTTTAACCCATTACGTTAAAGGTAAGAGCAAATGTAAATAGAGTTTTGTTGGTAAGTTGACTTCGACATTGAATTTAATAAATCTAATATATTATTTTAATACTTTATTGTTTTTTAATATCCTATTATAATTTATATTGTTTCTTTAATGTTTCTTAATATCTTACAAATTTATATAAATTTAATAAAATTTATTACGATATTAAAATATTTACTAAAAATTAATAAAGTTTTCAATCGGGTAAATAAGACCGTTTCTAAATTATCATTTCTAAATTAATAACGGAATGTTTATGAATTTTATTCTAAATATGGGACTTAAAATACAAGAAACATTTTAGTGTTAAAAAATTATCCATCGATAATTTCCAAACATAAATAAGAAAAATAATGCGGAAAATTAATCGTGTACAAGGTGAATCAAAATCATTGAACCAGCTTTTTACCCTATGAGAAAATAATTGACTGCACACGTAATAATAAAATTCAATTAGGTATAAAATTATCGATAATTTTCTCATAGGATAAAAAGTTAGTTCAACGACTCTGATTCACCCTGTATAGCAAGTTTTTTATATTAGTTTTGTCATAACACACATTTTTGTAGTGAAACAAAATACATGTACATTATTAAATTTTAAAACATTTTTTTTGCAAATAAACGACATTTTTCAAATTTGTAAAAACTGTAATTAAATTATATTAAATACTGTTTCAAATTATATTAATATTAATTCTTATAGCACCTAATTTTGTACGCACATTATTACAAACAATATCCTTATCTGTATTTCAAGCAAGTCTCAATACATATTTATCCATATAGTAAGTAATAAGATAAACATAATACAATATTTTCACATTGTGTACATAATCAAACGTATTAATCAGTATTGTTAATAGTTGAAAGTCGTATAAAGTTATATATGTATAATATATGTACAAAAATTGTACTTGAATAGCGATTATATTTTTCAATCTCTGGTGAAAATAAAAATCGAAACATAAATCGAATGCAAGAGAAGAGTAACCGACGCGTAAGTGAAACTTCTGGAGGAGAAAATTGATAATGAAACTTAAAAGAAGCATTTACACTTCTTTTTACATTTTATTACTAATTTTTACCTCTTAGAAACTTTGTTTACGCTATTTGTTACTCTATCAGTACGTTCGACTTACGCTCCGATTTTTATTTTCACAAAGGATGCAATTTGTTATAACTTTTAAAGTTAAACTGTATAAAATTTAGTCAGCTTAGATCCGACAATACTTGGAATAACACTATCGATAGTTTCTTCAATATTCTTAAAAAAGCCACAAATGAATCAAATGACGACCTAAACTTGGCAGTTAGGTTGTATCATTGGACGATGCAAGAACGTTATCCTATACTACAGATGACACGAGATAAGGTTTTTCGAAACAAGATTATCATAACATTACAGAAAGACTATTATAATAATTCATATCCGACAAACATGTGGATACATGTGACTTATGTTACGAAAAACTCTTCCAATTATACAAGGAAAGAATGGTTGAGTCCAAACATGTCACATTTAGAATTGACTGTTAAAGAAGATGATTGGATCGTTATTAATGTACAACAAGCTGGTGAATATTAACATATAAAATAGTATCTCTATCTGCCATATTTCATAAATTTTGCATATTATTCAACATATTTAATCATGAAGTTTGTTTTATTATACGACAGGATATTATCGTATTAATTACGACAACGATAATTGGGAAAAACTTGCAAGATATTTAAATTCAACGGAATATATGAATGTACATGTACTCAATCGTGCTCAAATCATCGATGACGCGTATTTCTTTCTATTAAGGAACAAACTGGAGTACAGTTTTTTCGAACAACTCACTTACTATCTGTCTAATGAGACAAATTATGTAGCATGGTATCCTATGTTTAAAATTCTAGAAAATATATCGGGTTTTTTCCCATTTTCAAAAAGTACCAAAATCAAGGTAAATAACAATAAATAACAATAAATTACCAATAAATCTTTACAATAATTTTAATTATCCAATTGATAAATTATATTATAATTTATCAATTGGATAATTAAAATTATAATTGTATAAAATATCAGAATTATATTTAAAAAATTAAAGTTTTATAAAAATAAAATAAGTGAATAAGTCATTTTCTTATGATACAATATTTGAATTAAATTTACAATATTTAAAAGCAAGAAAATATTATATTATTTATAGTCGTAACGATATTTCGATTATTTTGAATTCTACAAAATTATTTTAAAACAACAACTATATGTAATATATTTATTATTATAAATATTAATTTAATAATCTGTTCCTAGACAATATCCTGTCCAAAATTGGATCGTAAGACATTTCAAAGATATCATGTAGATGTTTTTTTTAGATTTTATGTTAAAATGTAATAAAACTACTGGAGTTCTGATTTTAGTTATGCGGAGTTATATTTGAGTTACAGAAGTGACAATGCTGGTAGCTGACAGAATGTGTCATCTGATTTTAAATTCAGAGACCAATTTTTCACAATTAAATTAACTAAACTAAATACTCGTAAAAATGTTCTAAAAATAAAAACAATTTCATATAAAAATTATTTTATCTCACGAAATGTACGAAATTAATTAAAAATGCTTAATTTCTCTAAAATATTTTTATAAGTTTAAAATGTTTAAACACTCATATTTTATGTTTTAAGAAATAGGCCAAAAAATTAAAAAAATATATCTTATTATAGTTATTGAAAGATAAAGAATAAAAATATAAAGAGTCCT